CCCCCAAACTTTCGACTGGTTCCTCGAGAACCACTTAATACAGAAGTACGAACAATTGCTAATGCTTCTCTGACATCAGACTCCTGAACGTACGTAGTAATGCCGATCTGACTACTGATCAGTATACTGTCAGTGTTTTGATCATCAGCCAGGTCACACTTCACATGTTGACGGACATCAAACGTGACCATCGCTATCCGAGTGTATGAAGAATTCGACGGTGTCCGATGTCCTCTGTTGCTGACCTGACTGGTATTTAGATATAACTTCTAACAACACAATGTCAAAGATCTGTTGATAAGGCAGTCTGGAAAGAATTTTATAAACTTTTCAATTCAGTACGTAAGCAGATAGTCTACTTACATTTAACTTATTTATTCAACCACAATTATTAAGATGTAATCAATTTTTATGTATTACTCTGGTTGATTCAGATGGAAAAGGGTGCCTTTTTATGTTTTTAAAGAAACCTGCAATGTAATATTTATAGACGATAGAAAATTATACACGTACAACCCGTATCCGCTGTCTCCATAATAATTACATTGAGGACATCGTCGTTACAAGGAGAGAAGACGTGAGGAGTATCTGGAGCTATCTGGAGCTGTTCCTTCTGGGCTACCTGACTTCCTATCCCCACACACAAAACCTTAACACCCCGCGCCGTCAAATATCGTGATTGCTGTACGGCGTCTTGTCGATAAGTGGAGATCTAGAGTCCGTCTGATAGAAGGAGGATATATTGTTTCAATCCGAATTGGGAATCAGAAAGTGGTATCTGTTGGAATAATAAAATTTAACGCAGAAATAAAACGTGTATTATAAGAAGTGTTGTCGCGCTTAAATAGTTCAATGTGATTGAAAGAGGATACAGATAGACAAAACTAATGATATCGTAGCAAATAAACCTGCATGCTAATAGTTATTTGTGTATTTGTATTATTGTATTATGCTTTTATATCTAAGTCGTTTTAATATGTGAATGATATAACTTTACTCTATTATTTTTTTCTGGTGATTTAGTTTAATTGGTGTAAAAGAATCAATGAAGTTGTGCACCATGTGCGGTAGATACTATAAAAATCGTACATCCGATGCCTTCCTCAGCGCTGTATGTAGATAGGACTCAGTAGATCCACTTGAAATATTGGCTATAGCAGAAAGTATAGACGTTTTGTTCGTACGTGTGTTAAACCCGAACTCCAGGTGGGCATCAACTGAATACGTCAGCATTGCGATTCGGAGGTCACCGGCGTCTATTGACAATTTTTTAAATAAAGGTGCAACAAATGATTTCGACGCATTAAACACGATTTCAGCACTACTCGAGTAATCCAATACCATTGCTATATCAGCTGGTTCAGGCCTACAATCTGTGAAATGTAAAGCAATAGTGTAGTATAACTATATTAAATAAGGTCTGCATTCTAACATTAATACATTGTCTCCGCTATTTGTTCTAAAGGACACATGGCTTCAGCTTTTCTTCAGTGTCGTGGATGAGCATGCTCCTAAAATGGAACGACGAGTCAAAAAGCCGAAACAACCGGAATGGATGGATGATACCATTCTCGCGAATATAAGAACTAGGGATGAACTAAAACGTCGAGGTGATATAGAACAATACAAAATATATCGTAACCAGGTTTCCCTTTTGATTCGAAGGGCAAAATCAGACTACTACAAAACGGTTATTGAAACCAATCTTGATAATCCCAAAAATCAATGGAAGCTTATGCATGAACCCAGTCCAAAGCAAAGCTTGCCATCTCCAAATATGTTAGCGATAAGAGATAAACATGTGTTTGAAAACAGTAAAATGGCAAACCAGTTCAATGAATATTTCACTGAGATTGCTAGTAAACTGACGTCTCAACTTGAACATGTTACGGCCTCTTTCCAGAAGTTGAAAGAGTATATATGTGATAAACTGAATGATAATATCAACTTTGTCATTCCCAATGTGTCTCATGATTTTGTAATTAAGTTTTTGAAAGGTTTGGACGAACATAAAGCTACTGGTGTTGATGATGTTAGTGCTAAGCTGTTAAAAATGGTTCATGCTGAAATAGCACCGTCACTTACCTATATTATAAACCTAAGTATCCGGTCTGGTAAATTTCCAACACGTTGGAAGATGGCAAGAGTTACCCCCCTTCATAAAAGTGGTAGTACTGCTGATGTTAGCAACTACAGGCCAATATCGGTTTTGCCAGTACTGTCTAAAATTATTGAGAAACATGTGCACAGTACTTTTTACAAAGATCTAACTGCTAATGATCTTATAGTATCATCGCAATCAGGTTTCCGTGAAAGTCACTCATGTGAAACTGCACTTTTGAATATTGTCAACTCCTGGGCAAAGAACATAGATGATGGTCTTAATACAGGTGTGCCTCAAGGATCAATTCTTGGTCCTCTTATGTTTTTGATTTTTATAAATGACTTGCCCCTACATGTTGTATCTGACACTAATATGTATGCAGACGACTCTACCTTATCTGCCGTTGATAAGTCGTTAGATAACATCAACAGTCTATTACAATCTGATTTAGACAATGTTAGTGAATGGTGTATTGAAAATAAAATGATGATAAATGTCAAGAAAACAAAATGTATGTTCATTGCCTCAAAACAAAAGCAAAAAAAAACCTGTTTAAATTTAGAATTATTTATGTGCAATGGACCCCTTGAACAAGTTTTCAGTGGAAAACTGCTTGGTGTACATATTGATAATGGATTGACTTGGGGAAGTCATGCTACATCTGTTTTATCTAGAATAAGGCAAAGGGTAGGGTTATTGAGACGTATAAGCCCATATCTACCTACGGAAGGAAAGCTGAAAGTTTTTAATTCTTGCGTTTTCCCACATTTTATGTATTGCAGTACGGTATGGTCAGGGTGTACCGCAAATTTAATGGGCAAGCTGCTCAAGACTCAGAAGCAAGCAGCTAGACTAATTTTAAATGTACCAGTTGACACACCTTCTAGGCAAATGTTTGAACTTCTTAGATGGATGCCGATTGACAAATATTATAAATACAGAAGGTTGTGCATGCTTTATAAATGTCATCATCAGGTTGTACCTGAATATTTATCAAAAAGTGTGTCTCTAGTGCGAGATGGTCACTGTAGGAAAACAAGATTTGCTATTGAAAATAATTTTAATGTACCAAAACATAGAACTGTTTTTTATTCCAGACACTTTTTTATTGACAGTATTAATGACTGGAATGTTTTACCCAGTGACTTAAAGAAAATAGACAATTTTACCACTTTCAAACGAAAACTTACTAAATACTGTATAGCAATGTCTT